TTTGGCAGTAATAAATAAATAAATACAGGCCTAGCTTATTGAAACTATCTTTTTTTCCCTTTTGAGCAATCTTGTCAGTGAAGGCAATAGATTCTACTCTTAATGCTTTAAAATCACATTATTTTCAGGGTTCAGGAGTGGAAAGCTTTTGTGGATATATGTTTGAAATGTTTTTCAAATAACTTGTGAATTAATGTCTTTACATGACATAATAGAACGTGCCAGCTAAATAAATAGAAGTAACATTTTACTTCAAAATATTCCACTGTCAAGATGACAAAAATAATAAGCGTCTCTTTTGAATACTGTAAGCTGGGTATTAAGTCAGTGGGAAATGTTTTTGCCTATCTAAATTATTTAGTCAAAACAGATATTCAGAAAAGTGTTTCAGCAGGAAGATGCAGGCAAATCATTTGTGTGGTATAGAACTACTTTTATTACAAAGTGCAGGTATTTTCACAACTTAAGTGCTTGACTTTAACCCTTCACCCATCCTCTCTATTCAACCATTTTTATTTATATACCCAGACCCATACATTATTCTCTCTCTGTGGTCTAGCTAATTTAGCCAATCCAGGAATTGAGAAGCCATCACAAAGTTTAATCCTTCCCATCTTTAGAATCGGCAGCAAATATTTGCTAGTGATATACACAAAACCCTTTGCCTTCTGCAAAAAAAAAAACCCCAAACCAGATCTCCATTTCAGGGAACTTGCAGGACATGCAGAATAAAAGTGAAAATCGTTTCCATCTTCGAAGTGGCAGTTTCTGCATGGCTATATCACACCTCCCACTTTTGACAGAACAATTAAAGGGAACAATGCATCATACAATCCCTACTGCAGGGCTGGGTAACCATTATCTCCCATTATCTCCCATTGTCTCCAGCTAGCATGGCTAATGGTCAAGGGTGATGATAGTTGTAGTCCTGCAACATCTGGAAGGCCACATGTTCCCCACCCTTAGCAAGCACTTTGCTAACAATAGCATTCCCATCACCATGTTAGAAACCCTACACAGGTAGTAATGTCCCTTTTCAGACTGATGTTGCTCATACGTCAGCTGGGATGTGTTTTCCTGTGTGTTTTCATAGGTACCAAGCACCTGAACAGAGACACAAACAAGCTGTGATGTCAAAATGTAACTGGGTCTCTCATTGTAATTGTTCACCAGAGCTGACCAAGACCTTTTGCACCCTGAGGCGAAAAGAGGGAGATGTCACCTCCTCATTCCACTTACAGAAACTGACTGGATTGGCAGCAGAATCTTACTTTAACAGTTGTGAAGGGGTAGTTTCATCCATTGTATCTGAGGCAGCAGGGAGACCATAACAGTTTGTCTAACATATAGAGCGCTGTCCTCCCGCAGAGGGGATTGGCCAAGGGCCTTAGGAAGAACAGCTGGGGCTGTTGCCTGTGTTTCTCCCCCAGTCTCTGCCGCCTGAGCTGCTAATCTCACTTTGCCCAATAGTAGGGCAGGCCCTGTCTGTCACAACAGGTACAGTGGTGCCCCGCAAGACGAATGCCTCGCAAGACGAAAAACCCGCCAGACGAAAGGGTTTTCCGTTTTGGAGGCGCTTCGCAAGACGAATTTCCCTATGGGCTTGCTTCGCAAGACGAAAACGTCTTGCGAGTCTCGCCATTTTTTCCCCGCTCCCCCCCCTTTTTCAAAGCCGCTAAGCCGTTAATAGCCTTTTAACAGCTTAGCCGCTAAGCCTTTAATAGCCACTAAGCCGCTAAATCGCTAATAGCGCTAATCCGCTTAGCCGCTAATGGGCTTGCTTCGCAAGACGAAAAAACTGCTAGACGAAGAGAATCGCGGAACGGATTCTTTTCGTCTTGCGAGGCACCACTGTACATCTGAATACTATATACAGTGGTACCTAGGGTTAAGAACTTAATTCATTCTGGAGGTCTGTTCTTAACCTGAAACTGTTCTTAACCTGAAGCACCACTTTAGCTAATGGGGCCTCCCACTGCCGCCGCGCCACCAGAGCACGATTTCTGTTCTCATCCTGAAGCAAAGTTCTTAACATGAGGTATTATTTCTGGGTTAGCGGAGCCTGTAACCTGAAGAGTCTGTAACCTGAGGTACCACTGTACAAATATGCTATCCTTTGAAACTTGTTAAGTGTCTACTTGAGTTGATCGAAAGCATTCCACTTCATGCAAGGATGCAGGTTACTTTCCCAGTCGAAGCAAAGTCTCTGATTCTTTCTTGCATTCTATTTTTATGAATGCACATTCTTCTTTGTCAGGGGCTTGGCAAGACAGCCTGGTTTTTAATTTTATGTATATTTATTTTACAAATGTTGCCATAGCAAATGTTTATTTTAAAAAGAAAGTTATTGGAATGGATTTTAACAGTTTCCACTTTGAGGATAAAGACAAGAAGATAGCATGTGATATTAGTGAAATTCACTGGAGGGGAAGGGGGGAAAGCAGAAATCCTCTGTTGCTACATTTTCTAGGAAATATTCAAAACTGGTTGAAGAACTTAAAATATAGGCATTAAGGCAGAAATTATGTGTGATTACATTTCAGTCTTAATCTACATCTGGCAGCTAAGTGAGTCCAATGAAACTTACAATTTTGGCACAGTTTGCACATCATAGTAAACTTACTCCCCCTCTAGTGTTGGTAGGAGCCATAAACCACAATCCCTGATTTAGCAGTCTAGCCAGACCAAAGATTGTGGTTAGTAATAGCAATAATTTTTAATTTTATTGTTTAGCTGTAACACAACAAAAGCAAAAAGAACATTCAGAATTGAGCCACAAATTCAGCTCTAAATTTCCTGGCTGCCAGCACAGATAAAGAAACATGCAAACTAACAGTTTTTATTGTCAGATGGTGAAAAAAAACATACAAACTTGCTAGGTGTAAGAAAATTCTTTCTGAGGCTAAACACAGTCAGATATTTTTCATGATTATCCTTATAAGCAGAACATTTGAAGCCATGTGCTTGAAATGTTTGGTGTGGGTATGACCAGAGACAAGTTAAAATGTCTTTATTTCCCCAAGCTTTTTTTAAAAATATCACGTTTACTTCTGATTATTTTTAATAAATAATTTGCATTTTACTGATTTTTACTTTTATTGGTTTAAGGGTTTTTAATACTATGTTAGTGTTGCTGTGAGTTCTCTTGAAGTCCTTTTAAATTGAAAGATGGGATATAAACATTATGAACACATGTGTAGTTTGCTTTGATACTAGCTACTTCTGTTATAAATTAAATTTTGCTAATTCATTTAATTACCTGTGCCAAGCCATTTTGTCATTACTGATCTAATGCAAGTATCCCTTTGACAATAGAGTATATTTATGCACATATATTATCTTAGAACAGGTATCAGGAAGTTAGCAATGACAGTAAAATTATATAAAGAATCATTTTAGTTGATACATTACTCTCAAGCCCACCTTTTAAATGCAGAGTCAATAGTTCTGCAATCCATTCTCTCAGCTCTTACTGCGCAACTTAGTAACGGAATAATGCTTTGTAATTTACATTGTTCAGAAACATTTCACTCACTTACTTATTCAAACACTCACAGATCTAGGCTAAGCCTTTTTGCTTTTGTTGTCAGTACCTATTGTTACATTTATTGATGCTGCTTCTTACAGAATTATAGGCTGTAATGCTGTATAGGCTCACAACCCCATTTATGAAGCCCTTTCTCTGTTAGGCTCTGAAGCCCCACTTTGCACCTGTTTTCATCTTGACACCCAGCGATGCCACTGGGCAACAGGGTGTTTGATGGACCAGCAGCATCTTCAAGATCGAGAGGTTTTCTGGTAAAGGAGATGGCGCTTCTGTGGACAATAGCAACACACACACACACACACACACACACACACACACACTACCTCTTGGTCTAGCCTGGTACTGGACCAGGCATCCATGATGGTCACAACCATGCGCCTAATTTCAATTAATCTGACAACTGTGCTTTGCAAAAATGGAAGTTTCTGCTGATCCAAGTGTTCCTCATCCCTGCTATAGAAGAAGCCTTGCTTCCTTATGAACCATCATCAGAGGTCCTCCTCCTGGTGCCACCAGCTTGAGGGTCAAGCAGGAATAAAGCTTTCTTAAAGCACTGGAGAGCCAGTGTGGTGGCTCTCCAGTGCTTTAAGAAAGCTTTATTCCTGCTTGACCCTCAAGCTGGTGGCACCAGGAGGCACTGGAGAGCCAGTGTGGTGTAGTGGTTAAGAGCGGTAGTCTCATATTGTAGTGGTTAAGAGCGGTAGTCTCATAAAGCACTGGAGAGCCAGTGTGGTGTAGTGGTTAAGAGTGGTAGTCTCATAATCTGGGGAACTGGGTTTGTGTCTCCGCTCCTCCACATGCAGCTGCTGGGTGACCTTGGGCCAGTCACACTTCTTTGAAGTCTCTCAGCCCCACTCACCTTACAGAGTGTTTGTTGTGGAGGAGGAAGGGAAAGGAGAATGTTAGCAGCTTTGAGACTCCTTAAAGGGAGTGAAAGGCGGGATATCAAATCCAAACTCCTCCTCTTCTTCTTCTTCTTCTTCTTCTTCTTCTTCTTCTTCTTCTTCGGGGTGGCAGCCCGATTCTGGATCTCCTTCCTGAGGGATATTTGCATAGTACCAATCCAGTTATATTTTAGGCACCAGGTTGAAACAAGTTTATTTGTTTCTCTCCTATCCCTCTACCTAGGAGGCTTCTTGTGCCTTCATAATCTGCCCTGGGATTTAACAATGGTTTGAATTTCGTTGCCACTTATGAGTTTTAGTGTGATTCGTTATATTCTTATGGTGCACTTTATTATTTTATATGCAGAGAAGTTATTGTGATGCGCATTTTGGCAACTTTATTTTGGAAGCTATTTTTCTTGCGTTTTGCTCATTTCAAAGGTGGTGTGTAAATTTCCTAACTAAATTGTGCCCAGAGAGTCTTTTGTCTCATGTGGTTAACAGAACCTCAACAATATTTTGCATTTCAACAAAAAAATGAGATATCTGCTCTTCTTTTTCTCCCCTAGGATGCTTCGATTGCTCACAGGTTTCACATCATGCGAGAAAAACACCCAGAGAAGTTCAACAGCAGGTGAGACCCCTAATCACATACACCTTACCTAGCAAGAGAGGCTGGTTTTTTCCCCAGATGGCGAAGAAGCATCTGCCATGACAAAGAAAGTTATGAATTTATCATGAATGGAATAGTGTCACTAGCCGCAACATCAGAACACCTTTCATTAAGGTGTGTCCTCACCAGCACTCTTGTCACTTTTCATTTCAGTTTCCCCCTCACTTCCCTGGAACAGATCTTTGCATGTACCCATTCACAAATATTGGCTTGTTTCCTTTTTCCCCCCTCCTTCTGGAAATGTTGAAGTGGGTTCTAATTCTTTTTAGTCCTTATAAATGGTATTGTGCCCATGCACACTGCATGATAAATGAGAGCCAGCTTGGGCGGGGGAAAGAGAAGGATGGGATTTGAGTTAGGATTGTGAAATATCCGAGCTCCAGGATCATGAAATAATTGTGATTAGCTTCTTCTATAGAAATATGTATAGGTGACCAGCAAGACAGCTCGGTGGATGCTGAGCTGCAATGACACAGGATCTTTATAAAGGGGTTGGGGGAGAGATTCAAGTTTTTCAAGTCAGCTAGGGGAGCAGCAAGTGAAGTGTGTCCTTAGCAAGCAAAAGCAGGTACCGTATTTTTTGCTCTGTAAGACGCACCAGACCACAAGATGCACCTAGCTTTTGGAGGAGGAAAACAAGAAAAAAAATATTCTGAAGCCAGAACAGCAAGAGGAATCGCTGTGCAGTGAAAGCAGCAATCCCTCTTGCTGTTCTGGCTTCTGGGATAGCTGCGCAGCCTGCATTCGCTCCATAAGACGCACACACATTTCCCCTTACTTTTTAGGAGGGAAAAAGTGAGTCTTATAGAGCAAAAAATACGGTACCTCTGTAAGAAAAAGGTACAGCATTGTGTGTGGAATAGACAACTCTGAGGATGTGAAGCAGAAACGATGACAGATCCAGCATGCTTTCTTTGCGCTAGTATCGGTAGCAGATTGCGTCAAACACTTTCTGTCTATATGAACTTCTCACATATAGGGTGTCCCCCCCCCCTTCTAGTAAAATCAGTTGTTTTCCGATATTGTAACCGAAGTAGGTACCATTCTAAATAACAAACTGCTCTTGCATATAAAATGCTTGCCTCTCAAGACCAGCGTGATAGAGATGATGATGCACTGTGTGGTATTTGAAGATCCCTGAGTTGACACTTTGCCATTAGGCATTGCAGAACACTTATTAGGCAGCTGCAGCTGTGAATCCTTATGTTTTGCTTCTACTCACATACTTGTGGAGCCTCTTTCATACTCATCGCAAGAGCCACTGAATGCCGTTTTACAAATATAGTCCTGTCGTTAGGAATCCTAAAAAATATGTGTGGAATCTGCAAAAACGAAGCTTTACACAAGTTCCTCGGGACGGGTTGGGGGAGTTATTCACATGAACTGTGCTCCAAAGGTTATTTATATAAATATAATATAAATTATATTAAAATTATATAATAATAATACACATCTGGCTGGGTTTCCCCATTTGGGATGGGAGGTAGGTAAGAAGTGTTAATAAATAGACATAGATTTTCTCATTTGATTTTTTTTCTTTCCCCTATTTTTCATTGGGAAGTCGGTAGGGATTTTGTAACAGAAAGCATGTTCCTAAAAAGTGCAGACTTGGTAGACTAGCCTACCTCCCCCAGTTGTCACAAATACTGTGGTGAATGGGGCTAGCACTCATGGGAATTCTGAAGGATTCTTAGCATTTATGTAAGCAGGGTTTGATGTGCTAAATCTACGGGACCGCCTCTCCTGGTATGCCCCGCAGAGGACCTTAAGGTCCATGAATAACCATAGTTTAGAGATTCTGGGCCCTAAGGAAGTCAGACTATCCTCCACCAGGGCCAGGGCCTTTTCAGTAATGGCTCTGACCTGGTGGAACGCTCTGTCCCATGAGACTAGGGTCCTGCAGGATTTAACCTCCTTCCGTCGGGCCTGTAAGACAGAGCTGTTCCACCTGGCCTTTAATTTGAATTCAGCCTGATCGTTTATTTCCCTTCTCTTCCCTCCCCCTCCCCTTTTATGAAGATCACCCGCTCTGAGACCCCACAGCTAATTCTCCCCTGGCCTCCTTGCTGGCCCAAGTAGGACCAATTCAGTCAGCTAGCCCTGGGGATTATCTAAAGCTTATTTCCCCTAAATAGATTTTTGAATTTTGAATTTTATTGTGATTCGTGTTTTTATACTGTATTTTATGCTCCTTTTATAATTAAGTGTTTTAAATTTGTTGTTAGCTGCCCTGAGCCTGGTATAAATAAAAATTTATTATTATTATTATTATTATTATTATTATTATTATTATTATTATTATTACTAAATTAAGGGACAAACACAGGGGAGGCAAACCTTAGGCACAGAGAACAAATGCACCTCACCAGGGGCACCAACTCTTGGGGGCTGAGCCCTTTTGCCCTGCCCCATATTGGGGGGGAGGGGCCTGGGGCCCCAATGTTCAAAAAGCACAGAGACGAAGCATGGAGCCAACCATGGCACAGTTCCAGTGGCTGGCTCCTTCCCCTGGGTTCGTATCAGCCTCCCACCAGTGGCAGTGCCAAGAGGAGGCGGAAGAAGAGGAGCTGCCAGCCATTGAAACACACAGTTGCCATGTTCTTGGCTCCTTCTGACACCCTGGTGTCCCACGTGGGACGTTGCGCCCCCCATGGCCCTCACAAGCTGGCACCTCTGCACCTCGTACCCCTGCCAGCCTCTCTATCTTGCTTTCAGCTCTGTCCGCCAGTCGTGCTGCTCTCCACAGGCCACACTCCTTGCTGGCACTGCTCCAGGCTCTCCTTAAGAGCTTCTGTCTGGTTGGAATGTATCTTTGAACTGTGACAATGCCTCCTTGCTTGCATGGCTAGATATGTGTTTGTGGAATCCCTTTCTGTGGCCCTGCCCACTTTCGCCGTGCTCTTCACTGGCATACAGCTCCTGGGATATTTCCCATGAGAGAATGCAGTCCTTAGGCTGAATGCAGTCTCCATCTCTGCTCTAAAGTAATGCTGGGTCACAATGGACACTGCAAAGGGCATATGCCTTTCGGATGCAGTCAACACTGTTTGAAGAAAACAGTGGTCCTGAAAAACCCTCTACAGGTCATGAAAACCCAGCAAATTGCAGGCCAGTTTCCGTTCTTGAAGAGGTGTTAGAACCAGCAGTGGTGGCTCAGCTTCAAGCTTGGGAAGAATCAGATTCCCAGGGTCAGTTTAGTTGTTGACCTGGTTTGGGGGATTTAAATGGCCTTTGTCACCCTGTTTGGGAACCATGATAGTTGAAGGACTTCCTCTTTCTATATTAGTCTAGGCATAGTCAAACCGGCCCTCCAGATGTTTGGGACTACAATTCCCATCATCCCTGACCATTGGTCCTGTTAGCTAGGGATGATGGGAATTGTAGTCCCAAACATTTGGAAGGCTGGAGTTTGCCTATGCCTGATCTAGAAGTTCTGATCGGAGACCGTGGTCCCTCCTGCTCCTGGCTTCCAAAGTGAAGTGGAATAGGACTTTCTTGCTGGAGGGAACATAATTTATAGTGCATAGGAAATTCCTTCTCAGCTTCCATAGGCACAGTAAGACCTTCCTTTTTAGGAGAATCTTGGAAGAGGAGGTAGTTTTAGAAGACATCTGAAGGCAGCCCTGTTTAGGGAAGTTTTTAATGTTTTATTCTGTTTTTAGTGTTCTGTTGGGAGTTGCCCAGAATGGCTGGGGAAACCCAGCCAGGTGGGCTGGGTATAAATAATAAAATTATTGTTATTATTATAGTTGTTGCTGCTTGTTAACATGCTCACTATTTTAATATTCCAGTGGTTGCTCTTTTTACTGTTTTCATTGAGTTTTCATTGTTTTTATTGTTAACAAACTGGGAGGCCTACATTCAAGCAGTGTATAATGACATTAAATAAATAAATAGATGTTTTATGAGATACATGAAGAAGCCAGGTGGACAAAGAATCTGAAGTACGGCAAATGGGTGTGGTTTCTGCAGCAGCTGTAGATGAAGCTGGAATTGTGGTGATACAAGGTTTTCGGGACTATGAGAACATGTTCCTTGAAGTCTAGCCCCACCCATGTGGAACTGTATAGTGTTATAAGTTCCTGTTTTACAATGGTGCATCTCCAAAATGGTTCTCTCAAGAATGATTCTATAACAAGAATTCATCTTTGGGCTAGCCAAGGTCAGTCTAAGTGCCTGCAGAGACAAATGGCAGGAGCTATCAAACACTTGGCAAATGCAGGATTTCTAGCCTCTTAATCGTGAAGCTGGTTTATTAGGGCCCTGCTGCATATTTTCAGCAGTTGGCAATTATAAGTTATAAAAAGCTCAGCTAATCATATGGTTTCGGCTCAGATTTCATGTCACAATAAATCATATGCCATTAATAACATCTGCTAGCCATCTCACCTTGAAATTCATCTATATTTCAAAGAACCTGATGCCTCTAACATTATCTTAAGGAAATTAATTGCAAAAATATATAGTCTTACTCCTTATACTCTTTGCTGTGTAGATACTTGAAGAATTTGAGTGGGAAATTATCTAGTACTGGGATAATTCCCATCGTGAAAGGTTGCGCAAAATAACTGTCAAATGTTTAATTTGCTGTGCAACTACTATATTATGTTTGCCTATTGTGAAGACACTTCTTATGTAAAAGCACTTTAAAGAGGAGAGCAGGGTCTATACACTCTCTGGCTTGGTTCTCACATCACACCAAGCCAAACCATGGCTTAGTGTGAATGTGCAAAAAAATCTGGGCTCTGGGAGAGGATTTTGCAGTTTCTTTATTCCTCACCTATCATTTTGGTACTGTGCTTTGTTGAGCCAAACCACAGGCTGGCATGACACGTCAGTGTGGTGTAGTGGTTAAGAGCGGTAGTCTCGTAATCTGGGGAACTGGGTTCGTGTCTCCGCTCCTCCACATGCAGCTGCTGGGTGACCTTAGGCTAGTCACACTTCTTTGAAGTCTCTCAGCC